TAAAGTAAAGGAGTTGCAAATACCACAACTTTTGGTGCATGACGGGACAGAATCTCTGCTCAGAAATATAATGGCTTTGGAATAAGTTCACTATCCGAAAGACGGTTGGATTTGCAATTATGTCGATTTACTGGATTGTCTTATTGAAACTGAAAAAGATGTGGATTTGCTTCATGGAAAGGGGATTATTTTAAACTGGTTGGGTGATAATGCTTCTGTGTGGCGAGTATGTTTAACAAACTTTGCGTAGAAATTTATACAGAAGAATCGTGTTACTACACCATTTGCAAGGAATTGAAAGCACACTACAACAATCCTTGGAACCATAGCAAGGCAAAGTTGAAAAGTGTGTATTTCAGCAATCTTTGGAGAGGCACAATGACTATTGCGGCAGTTGTACTTTTACTGCTCACTGTAATACAAACTGTTTGCTCTATCTTGCAAGCTAAGTGATATTTGAATTAAATTGTTATGTTGAACTCAAATTACACTATTTTATACATGGAGTGATCCACCTTTTTTAAAAAAAATATATATATATATTGAAGTTTGTGTACAAATTTACTCGAAATTCATCTTTTACTAATTGGCTCTTCATTCTCCAATGGCTAGAATGCCGATGCCGGGCTCATTAGTGCACCATTCCAATGACTACCAACGACAACCGATGATGGTGGTCGGCGGCCAACAATGACTTGGGATAGATGGGGATGATTTTGTTAGAAATTAAACTTTTATATGATTAAAGTGTTTTAGTAAAATATCAAATGTAAGAGGTTAAAATAATTAATTAAAAGTAATAAAAATAATAAAATATTAATATTTAAAATGGAGGACTATTTAATAATCTATATAACATACTCACAAATTTAACTATTTCGACCAAATATATCAATATAATATACCCATCAATTTATTCTAATTTAATCAAACATATTTCCTTAAAAATTCTATGTAATCTTTGAGATAATATATATTTTCATTAACATAATAATCCCAATAATATAAAACGCAACTTTAGAGATATACGTTTAAGACAACCTCTTTTAACTTTTCTCTTTTCCAAACAAACATTAGACGGTGTCGGTGAGCATGATCAATTGTCAATATGATTGCGTAATATTCTAGATAGTTTGTGACGTAAGAAATATACAAGCCATGTGTTTCAAACGGGAGGGGAAGCCGGAAGGAACCATGTGCCGTGCCGTGCCACTGTAATAAAATTTTTAAGATAATCGTTAAAGGTAATAGCATTATTGATGTAGAAAATTAATTAAAAATCTTTTAAAAATTATTGGTCACATGTCGTTTTTCTTGTTTTGATCAATGGCTCCCACTTATTGACTTGAGGAGGTGTCCGTGTTTGAATTTTTCTTGCTAATTAGCCCCACACTCACCAATATCAATAAAACAAAACAAAACAAAAGTTGCCAAGAAGTGGTACAAATGATGCGCTGTCGTTTTCGATTGCTAAGAAAAGAGGGTGACTCTTTGAACACTGGAGCAGAGATCTGACGAATGAAATTGTTTAATTTTGTGTTTCTTTGTGTAGAAATGAACGACTGGAATAAGTAATCACATGGATTACCACTTGTAGCTATAAAAAGGAGTTGCTCTAATAAAATCAGAAAGTGTTGAAAACTCTAAGGCTCCGTTTGGTTCATTATTGGATAATTTTTAGAATAATATTTTGAAAAAAGTTAAATTGGGTGGGTATTACGATATAGAATTTTAAAAATTAACCTAAATATCTCTTATGTTTATTTATTTACTAAACAACCCTAAATAAAATGTTCAAAATTAACAATCCACCCCCAAAAACACGGACAACTGGCCACCATTGTCGGAGGGTGGCCGAAGTTGCCGTATCAGCATATAACTGGCACGATATTGCCGGTCGTAAGCCAATATGACCGGAAAAGGCTATATCGGTGGTTAGATCTGGCCATTGACGGCCAGATCTGGCCGCATTTGGTCTTTAACGACGGCCAAAGATAAGGTCGTCATTGATGGTCAATGACGACCATATCTTGGCCGTCATTGACGACTATCTACGGCCAAAGATCTGGCCGTTGGCCATAGATTTGGTCTTTTCCAACCAGATCCAACGTGGATCTGGTCGGAAAAGGCTACATCGACGCACTACCGGCCAAATTTAGTCGGTAGTACGCCATTACACCAGATTCCAACTAGTTTCTAGCAGTGATGGCCGGAATTTGGTAAATTTGGGTTACTAGGGTGTTTTTGTCAACTTTCAAAAAAAAATTTGGGGGTTGTTTAGTTAAATTAACAAATTTAGGGGGATTAACAAAAGTTGAATTATTTAGAAAACTATTTTCAAAATAGGTGAAATAAAGTTAACTTTTTTGGGAAAACTAGAAAAGTTTTCCCAATATGTGAACCAAAGGAAGCCTAAAAAATTCTGCCTCCTATTCTTTTCCTTTCCTCTTAATATATTCTAGGTTTTCTTTGTGTTCGTCATTGCTTATCAAATCGTGTTAATATATGACGTTTTCTTGCTAATCAGCCCCTCACTTTTAATATCATCTAATAAAATAATAAACTTCTCCCATTATGGTCCGACAAACCCTTTAGCCATTATGATTAGTCATATTTAAGGGGTCTTGAGTTTTAGTTGTAGGAGAGGTACCTATCAATAATTTGTAAAATTATCTTAGTTGGTTTGTAGAGTGTTCTGTGTTTTTGAAGATTATACAGACTCCAGTGTGAACTTAAATATCTTTATTACTTAAAAATAATAATAATAAAATAAATATGTGCCAATATGATTTTTTTTTTTTTTTATATAATATCTTCAAAAGTAAAGATTCACACACACACACACATATATATATACAAATCTCCTGGTGAAACAAACCTTTACGTTAAAAAGTTAAAAATTAAAATTAAAAATTAAAAAAAAACCTAAGAGAGTGTTTGGTTGGAGCTAATGTTGAATTACTGAGGTAATGTCATCTTATATTGCTTGATTATCACATTTGATTATCAAATAATATAAGATTCTAGTAATCTTAAAAAATCGATAGTAGTTATTGTTGGTAATATTGAAGGTAATCTGATTAGCTTTATTTTTTTAGGTATTGTAAGATTACATAGTAATTTTATTTTTGTTACAATTTTACCCATTATTAATAAAATTTTTGGATAATACTGCCATTGTTTTAAAATCAATTAACATTAATCTACCATTACAATTTTACTCTTGTCTAATGTCTAATTAAGTTTTTAGACAAGAATGCCCTATATTTAAAAAAAAATTGCAGTCCACCACCGCCACCTAGCCACCACCATTGGCAGCTGGCCAACGGCCACATCAGCAACTTCTGACGATTTCCAATGACTTTCGACGATTCTTGGTGGCAGAAGGCGGTGACCGACGGTGGTGACTGGCGGCCGGTAGCGGTTTGGTGTGGGTGGGGTGATTTTGTTATAAATTAAAGTTTTATATAAGCTATGGCATTTTAGATAAATCTGAAATGTTGGGAGTTAAAAAAAATTATTTAAAAAATAATAATAAAAATAATAGTATATTAATATTTAAAGATGACGGCAATTTAATAATTTAAATAACATACTTACGAATTTATTTCTCCTAACCAAATATATTAATATAACATATCTATCAATTTATTCCAATTAACCAGACACATTTTCCTAAAGATTCTCAATAATCTTCAAGATAATCTAACTTTTCATTAGTATAATATTTTTAATAATCCAATATTTTCCAAACCAGATGCACCCTAAAAGTTTTTAACCTTAGGATACACATTGAATAAGAGTTTTTTTATTTATTAAAACTAATATGTAAAAGGCTTCCATTTTTTACTGTGGAGGTGTTTCACTGTTTCTTGACTTGAGGTCATTCTTCATGTGTAAATATCATAGCCCTCTTTTCTTTGAGAGTATTTCAGCTTAAGTTTCCTTTCCACACTCCACTTACAACTTTCTTACCAAATTTTCCTTTTCGGTATTGCTTCCCAACCTCAGGTACCCAAAGAGGTAACTCTTTCAACCTCTTTTTTTTTTTTTTTTTTTTTTTTTTTTTTTTTACATCTCTGGTTGGGTTTTATTTTCACATTATTTTCAGATAATTTCTCTTTCTGTCTCTTTTTTAATTAGCATCCGAGTAAAGATATCTGCAATTTGTTCTATTCTAGTTCAAAAAGAAGCTGAATTGAAGTTCATGATAAAAGCAAAAGATGAGGTATATATGCTTAAGTTGACTAGTGGGGTTGTAATATGGGCAAGAAAGGAATCATAATTACTCACCTGTAACTTTCAGTTAAGTGTTTAACAAGCTTTCTTCATAAATCGTTGGATTAGCATTTTATAAATAGGCAACAAAGCACATGATAAAGCAAAAGATCAGGTATATGTGCTTAGCTTGATAAGTGGGATTGTAACATGCAGAGGAAACGAATCACATTATCAAGGCCATGTATATAATATACACATTCTAAGGGAAGTGGAAGAGAAAACACATTATCAATAAACAAAGAGAGATGGGAGAGATTCACCATAAGTAACGCATCCCTACGGTTGTGAGCTGTGGATAAATTAGTAAGTAGTTACTCAACATTATATTTGTCTACTATTTTTTTTTTCTCTCTCTTTTTAGAATTATTTTGGGATTATAAACAAAAAGAAGCCCTTAATTAGCATCCGAGTGATGTGGATATGAGAGATTGTGTAGTATGTTATATGCATAAATATTTGTAATATAAGAGAAATTAATGCATGCATGTAAGTTAGGAACTCGAGGCAATTTTAAGTAAATAAGCTCATACACAAAACTAGACTTAACTTCTCAAATCTGCACAGATAGAGGAAACACATGATATCAAGGTGATGAACAAGAATATATAGAAATTTGAAGAGTCAAAGATACCAACCATAAGTATTATTAACACATCCCAGTCCAGAATTAGAGAGGAGGAACTTTGCTTATAATTTTTTTTTTTTTTTTTTTAAGGAATATGGGTTTGGAGATGAGTAGTACTGCCGCCAATAAAGATGAGGACCAAAGAAAAGATTTGCTAATTGATATCACTGAAGAAATCTTATCAGATCTTGAGCCTGCTCTTGAGTGTTATATTTGCAGGGTTCCTAAAAGCATTCGCCGAATAAATGAAGAAGCCTACACTCCTCAATTAGTTTCAATAGGTCCTCTTCATCATGGTAAAGAAGAATTAGCTTTCATGGAAAGACAGAAAATAAGGTATATGGAAAGTTTTCTCAAGCGAATAACAGTTGAGAAATGTGACGAACTTTTAAGCTTCATAGAAAACAACGAACAACGAATTCGTAATTGTTATGCAGAGATCATTAAAATGGAGAGCGATGCATTTATAACCATGATTCAACATGATGCTATCTTCATCCTCGAGCTTTTTCTAAGGAGTTACCATAACGATAGAAGTGACAATTTTTTGTTAAAGATACCAACAACAAGGTTTGCCCTAAAGATGGATTTGCAGCTACTAGAAAATCAACTTCCATTCTTTGTCTTCGAGGAATTATACAATTTAGCTTTCGAAACTCCTATCTTTAGGGATCTTTCTCATAAATTCTTATGTTTATCCAATACCTTACCCGCTGAGATGGTGGTTAAACATTTCACCGATTTGAGAAGAAGTACTCTCTTCAGAAATTTCCTGCGGAGAAAGGAGTTGGAGCAGATTTGTCTTGTGCAGTAAAGTTGCATGAGTCGGGAGTGAAGTTTAAGGGTATTGCAGGAACATCGTTACTCGACATAAGATTTGAGAAGCGAAAGCGGCTGATTTCATACTTTGAAGTTCATGAATTGCAAATACCTCATTTGGTAGTGGCTGACTATGGGACAGAACATTTGCTTCGAAACATAATGGCTTTGGAGCAGTGTCATTATCCTTCGAATACTCGAGTTTGCAATTACGTGAGAATAATGGATTATCTTATTAATAGTGAGAAAGATGTGGATTTGCTTATTGGAAAAGGGATAATTAGAAATCGTCTAGGAGATAATATTTCTGTAGTGAATTTGTTCAACAAACTTAGCTTACAAATTCATAGAAGTAGGTCATGTTATTATAAAACCAGCATGGAATTGAAAGCACACTATAACAATCCTTGGAATCATACCAAAGCAACGTTAAAAAGTGTGTACTTCAAGAATCTTTGGTGAGGCACCGCCACTGTTACAGCAGCTGGGATTTCATTGCTCACTCTCATGCAAACCATATCTTCTATGAAGCAAATTATGTAATACCTGTAAGTGTAATATTGCGTTTTGGAAGTTTGTTATTCTAATAGTTTTTCAATGTAATATCTTCCATCATTTCTAAATTCTTAATATAGTAAGAATGCTTATCATCTCCAGGTGTATAATTTCTATAAAGCATGGCCACAACAAACACCAAGTGCCTGATAATCTTTCTGCAATTCATCATTTGGGTTTGAGGCAATAAGCTATGGTTGTAATTATAGTACTCTTATGAAATCTCACCTTTAATTTTCCTTTGAGATTCATTTTACTACCTCGTAGCTGTCCAATACTTCATTAACTTCTTCTTCACCTGCTTCATAAGGATCAGAATGTACTTGTTAGAGTAGATGCCCTAGAGCCAATCAATTATTATAGAATTGACTCTTTGCAATAATGTTCATTAATCAATAATAAAAGGCATTTTATTCTATATCGCATAAATCATTATTATTGCAATATGTATTGATATATGTCCTTAGAATGGTAGAACCGTGACGAGGGTATCAAGTGTTTCAAATCTTGATAGTGAGAACCCCTATGAGCACATATGGTGGCCATTCTAAAAACGTCCGTAGCCCCAGTATTATTCTGAAGTAAGGGCACAGATAATACGGTAAGGCTATCATAGTGTTGAATGACCTTGTCGAAAGGCAGTGACTATCTCACTTGTCAAGGTTGTTTGGTGACAACCTGGTGCAACACATGGGTGCTTGTTGTAGGTGGATATACCATAGCAAGTTCACTGGATTGACCCACCAGAGGATTCCATATGGATGGTAACCCCAGTGTCTATAGAACAAATCCTCTAACGAATGGTGGTGCATGTGATCCTTAGACTTGAGATCACTGGAGCGCCTTGTACATTGATTGGTGTAGTTTGACACTAGCCTAACACAGTTCTTTTCAGAGCTGTCAATACGGTGGTGATTGGCTACATCGAGGAGTGTATCAAGACTATGGTGGATAGACAGAGGATTCATCACTCCCGGGTATGGGAGAAGTTATCTCACGGCACAATTCGGTATATGGCGATGACACTAAAACTATGGCCACAGTGGGATTGAGTTGTTGCTCTATCCGGATTATAATAAAGGTCATTGGTCTAGAAACTGAATACATAATATCGAGAGTAATCAAAGGTTGACACTATTTCTATGTCTTCGTCTCATCGAGATAACGTATGATGAAAGGATCGAATTGTACGGTAACCATATCGTTGACAGGTAGCTACTTTGTTGAATCCGAATCTATCGGGTGGCCATGATGCCTTGCTAGGGGCCAATCTTGGTCTGTGTATAAGTGAGACGATTAATTGGTGTTAATCGCGATACCATACACTACCGGTATGATGAGGAGCTTATGGGTCACACACATAGAAGATAATTTAAGACTCACAAAAAAAGAAGGGCGTTTTCGTCTTTTTGGGCGAAAGGGTATTTTGGTAATTTCACAGTGCAATTAAATTTGCTGAGGTCGTAGCATTTATTTAATTTGTTAGAAAAATTAAATAAGTGAAATTACGTTTAAATGTGTGTTCGCATATATTTAAATAAATTATCATTATTGGTAAATATTAATATATATTAAATATATATTAATTGATTTTAATTGAGATAATGATGAATTAAATTAAAATATCTAATTAGGAGTGTTTGGCAAATTTGGGGGTGTTGGAGTTGGAGCTCAAGCCCATTCCATATGGGAATAGGGCAACTAAAATAACAACTATAAAAGAAAAAAGTTTTAGTTGAAAAAGTGTAAGTGTGTTATTTTTATTTTTCATTGATTTGAAAAGAGAGAAACCTCCATCCCCAAAACTCTCCGACGCCTGTTTTTGGTTTTTGCCAAAATCAAGCACTTCTTTTGTTTTCTTCTTGATTTCTTAATGCCAAGGAGAATCTAGCAAATCCCTCTTTAGTTCTTGTTGATTGTCTTCGTGTGGACCTCTATGGTTTGATCCTACACTTGGATCGGTAACAAACACGTTTAGAGACAATATTGGTAGAGCCTCCAAACGTGGGTATGGTTTCTTAAACCTTGAACTGATTTTTCTGCAGATTTGATTATTTTATATAAACTGTGATTTTTGTATCCGGATCTTGGTTCTAAGGAACGATCCATAGAGTTTATGTTTTTGCTTTCCTTTGCGTAACTGGGTCGTTTACTAACAGTACTCACCCTTTGAAGCTTCGTCATCCTAATAAATTATGTTTGCTATGTATTTCTCTTGACTCACAGTGTTATATTCGATTAATTAAAACCAATATAAATGAATCATTAATTCGATTAGAGAATCTATTAGATAAGTCTAGTTTGACTTTTAGATTAATTAAAATTAGTTTCTTACTTCTACTACACCGCAACTTTGAAGTAAAATGTATATCCAAGCACATAAAGATTTGTAGCTAGAAACTAATATACTGTACTTCAATTTAGAAGAAAAATATATTTATCATCTCTTAGTGAGATTCATGGGTGCTTATTTACCATTTCAATCGTCAAGTTTGATCAACTTCAACCTTTGTAAACTAAGCACAGGAAAGGTTATTTCTAATTAATTTTCCAAATAAAAGGAATTTGAATAAAGTTTTGAGTAAACTATTATAACAATCATTGGAACCATACCAAGGCAATCTTAAAAAAGGTTTATGTCAGCCAAATATCCTTTATTCAAAGTGTGATATGACTATTTTTCACAACCATGTATATTACGCTACACAAGACGGCATTTTTTCACCAGAGATCTGGAGATAGCAATATTTCAAAAGACATTAAAATTATACATTTTTAATAAGAGTGTTTTTGGAATTATTTCACTATCGTTAATTGCGTGTTTTAGCTTTGTTGTAATTGTAGTATAAGCTAACAAATCAACTTCCAGAATGAGGGTAAATAAAACTCTACTGTGTTATAGTTTAGATTGTGCCTCAACGTTTCTTCAATCGTTGAGACCTTCAATTCTTCGCAACTCAAAGAGTCCAAATCAGGGGATAAATACTCTGCTTCAATTTCTAATCCGTCTCCTCAATGTACTTAAAATGAAACAAATAGCTGATACTCTTAACTGATGCTGGTACACTTGTCTTTGATGATGAACTATTTTAATGTACATCAATGGTGGTCTGGGCGTTAAAAATATGTGACTGTGGTAGCTAATCTCACATCTAGATGAGATTCTGTTACATAGCAAGAGACTCAGTTTATGTTACAGACTCAACAGTTGCACATTGAAAAGCATAATGCTTAATTAATGTCAGCTCATGGTAACTTCTCTGCCGATTTTGCTACTAAGACCTGGTTTTAGTTTGGGAATCAGTTTTAAAATTCAAGAAGAGCTTCATTTCCAGCTCAATTTCGTGGTCATGGCAGAGTTTCTGATACAGGTACTGGCTGGCAGGGGAAAATCAATAAGTTATTTATGAGGTAAAGTTGGAAAATCAGGTTGCCGACAAAGGACTTAGTGAAGATATCTGCAATTTGTTCTATTCTGGCTCAAAAAGAAGATGAATTAAAGCTCATGGTAAAAGCAAAAGATGAGGTATAAATGTTCTTAACTTGACTAGTGGGGCTATAATACGGGCAAGAAAGGAATCACAATCACTGCCTTGTAACTTCCAGTTAAGTGTTTAACAAGCGTTCATAAGTAACACGATAAAAGCACATGATAAAGCCGAAGATCAGGTATACACCAATGCTTGGGCAGCGGTAAGAGAAAACACATTATCAAACAAAACGAGAGAGGAGTGATACACCATAAGTAACACGTCCCTGTGGCTGTGAGCTCTGCTAATTTTCAAGAGGTGGATTCTGGATACTGGTGCTCTTCATCACTCTACTATCTTTTTCAGTCCAAAAATTCAGGTGCACATTTAATTGCTTAATTCTTAAATCATTAAGTAATATAGTATTGTATTATTATGGATTATAATGTCTGTTTTACTATTTCCATATGTTACTTCTTTCTATCACAGATAATACATGAGAGATTGCATGCATATATATTACTTCAACAAGCTTTCTTATATATTGATGCAGCGAGTTAACGTAATAATAAGACTAGCACTAGATTATAAATTTAGAATTGATAAATAAGTCTCAATCACAGAAATTTAAGTCTTAAAATCTGAAATAAAATATGAATAATCATTCAATAATATCTAAAACAAATAATAAGTTTATATAGGGTGACAACCAACCCTAATAAGATTCATAAAAAAAGGAAATAAAATCCAAATTAATTAAAATAAGAAAATCCTAAATAAAATATGAAAAAAAGCACAAAAAACTAAAACGGCCCCGAAACATGCAAAAAAGGTAGATTTCGACTCAAAAAAGAACTCAAACAGTCTAAATGTCATGTTGTTGGGCTCGAACAAGCTTTCCGTTGATATCTTACGAGCCCCGTAACTCCTCCTAGATCAAAAGTTATGACTGTTTTAAGTTGACATGAAC